AATTTTAGAAACTCGTATATAAAATATTATTCATTATAAATTAAACTAGACGTTTGAAAATTCATAATAAAAACATGAGAAAATACACTTGAGAAGATGAGAGCCAATTAGAAAAGATTACTAGGATCGATGATGTGGCAGTTTGTTGAACCACACGTAGCTAATCATGTCCATTCAAATCTTGGAAATTTATGCTTAGCCAATCTTGTCCGTTCACTTTTTTTAATACTCTTTAATCATCAAAAAGAGGAGATTTGAATGTATGTTCTAATCAATTGAATTCAGATTTTTTTTTTCTTTCTGGGTTTGGTCGAAATTGTAGTAAAACTAGATTTTGATCTACACCAAGCGTGAGATTAAATGATTAAATATATTTTTTAATCGATTTTAATATTTAAACATATATAACAAAACATATAATTTCTAATATCTATAAACGTACAATAATAACATGTATTGCATAAATATTATAAAGTTGAATTTCGATCAAACATATTTGGATTCCATTAGCTTTAATACTTTTATGTGTAAAATTGGTTAAAACATATGCAAAGTTATTTATTTCAATATATTTTAGGTGTAAAATTAATTTTAAATATTCGTGTAATTTATAATTATGCGAAATCATAGAAATTTTAGATTTATATTAATATGTCGGACATAACAAACAAAAACAATATATGTTTTTCGATAATGAAATGTGCCAAGCCCTAAAGTTTCTACCATGGTGCATATTTTTCATTGAAATATTTTGATTGGTTATATTAAATGATGTGTCCATTAAATTGCTCATTGATTCACATCAAAATTTTTTATTCTAGTGTCTCCTCAATTAATATATAGAAGATTCGAAACGGTTTATGTTTCGGATATATTGATTTTCCAAGAATAATATAGTATCCAAGAAACAAAGCAACATGAAAATTTGTTTTAAGAAACTGAGTTATTTAATTTCAGTTAAACTTTTGTTTATTTTCAATTAATTTTTTAATTCTGAATTCGTTTCGTTGGNTTTGNATCGAAGTTTAGCTTTAATTTTTTGGCATTGAACCAAATCCACAAATATGATTGGTTGATGCACCATGTCGACAAAAAAAAAGAACTTTAGTTAAATTCGGTGGGTAATTTAGGTGAAATATAGTAAGGCTTTTTAATATTATTTCCATAAAATATTTTGAAAGCATTAATGATTCCTTAAAACCTTCTTTGATTGACACTTAGAATTTTTCTTAGTGTCTTCTCTATTAATATATAGAGGATTAGCAATATTACTAATTTTTTATTGCTTTGAAAGGTGATGATAGTCGAGATTTCATTACTCTTGAGTATTGTGGAAATGATTTTCTTGCAGCGTTAACTGATTTTGATCAAAGAAAGCGAGGAACTTTGGTTGATAAATCTTCTCATAGTGAGAACAGATTCGTGACTGATGATGATGATCAAAAGTTGAAGTTCATGTGATTGAGGATTCTTCTGAGTCTAAGAAAACACTGGAATTGACGGAAGATGATGATACAAATGTATTGGTCGTACTTATATTCTATTTATGTACTTCTATATCTTTGTAATTATGTCTACTGATTGAAGAGATTTTGATTTTAGTTTAAGACTTGTATCGGTGTTATGTAACTTGGTTTTGGATGTTTTATGAAATAATAGAAGTTTATATAAATTTGTCTTGATGTTAATTCTGTAAAAACAGGTTTAAATAAATAATGAATCGCAGCATATAAAAGTCGATATTATTGCATCTTCAAAAATGCTACAAAACAAAATATCACAGCGTAAACCATGAGCTATAGATTTATCTAAATACAACATTAAGAAAACGCTACAACATATTAAATTACAGCATTTAAAAAACGTTATAACAATATATATAT